ACTTAAAGTCTGCTTTGAATGCTGAACATGAGGACTGGCAAAGCCATCGGCATCGGCAGTGACAATAATAGCTCGTAGCATGAGGACTGGCATTGCCTAGAACATGAGCCTGCGCTCACTCCCCGACTGGGTGCGGATGAGAGCCACGTCAGCTTCGGTGACACACCGGCTGTCGAAGGCCACGTGTTGGCATTTGAACGCTCCCTGGCCGAAGGTGTATGGCTCGCAATAGAGTGCGTATCCGCCGGCGTCGCAGTTGCAGCATGCGTTGGGCCCGAAGAACGGGAAGCAGTCGCCGCCCACATACCCGACACAGCCCTCAGCCGGCTTGGCATTGAAAGCCAGCGCCAGCGTAGCAATAACCATCAAGATCACGACCTGCCGACCGTACGCCATTGTGACTCCTCCCTCTCCTTCACTGACAGGTGGTCGAAACGGAAACGATGTCGCCGGCTCTTCAAGAAACACTGAGTGCCCCCGATCGATTCACGGAAAACGTTTTGAGACAGATGAAAAAGCCAAACGCCCGCTGATCTGTAGTCCCTGCGCGCAAATCGACCAATCAAAAGTATAACAAAGTTAGAAGAAGAAGAAGAAGAAGAAGAAGACTCAAGAAGAAGAAGAAGAAGAAGAAGAAGACGTAGAACAACAACAACAACGACGACGACGACGATAAGAGAATAAGATCGACATGCACAAGGAGAACAACGAAGTGGAGCAAGACGAGAAGGAGAACAAGGAAGAATACAGGAAAGGAAGAAGAAGAAGTGTTGTAGACTGGCTGATAGAGTAAGCTGGCGACAACGACGATCATTCAAAAAGAAGCTCCCATCAACTACAAAGAATGATACCAGATGTCAACACGTTGCTTTCACATTATGGTGTGCCTGTTTCCCTTTCGCTGCGTGTTCACAGTTGCACTTCACTGGATGTATCTGTCCGCAATTACGAACAGTCCTGGATGAATCTGACCGCACCCGCGTCCAAACAGCAGTCCCAAAAGTTCTAGTGTGAGAGCAGCGCCCTCAGACTCAGATGTTCGATAGCAAGCCATGATGGTGAGCGGACGTAAGCCGGACTCACAATCTCAAGGCAATGCGTTTAAACGGAAAGTGCTATGGTAGTTGCTGAGAGCCGATCACGGCGGAAGCCAGTGATAAAAAAGGGTCGTACGAAAAGACAATGTCATTCCCGAGCACTCCCACTCCCACATTTGAGAGGGGGGAGGAGAGGGGAGAAGGACAAGAAGATATCAGTAACTATCAAAGAGTGTGCGTACGCCCGCAGGACATGCATGCAATATTAGACATGCACAGCGGATCGTTTGGGGCACACGCCGTGCAAGAACGTCACACACAGACAGAGAGAGAGAGAGAGAGAGAGAGAGAGAGAGAGAGAGAGAGAGAGAGAGAGAGAGCATAGTGATTCCGTACCTTCGTGGGGGTCCTGAGTGGCGGCCGCCTCTTCTTCTTGCTTCTCGCCGCGTAAGAAAAACTCCACAAGGTGTTGTGGGCTGCACTCAGCAGCGATGCCATATATAGGGTTCTCGCACGGATCACTCTACCGTTGAAGGGTGGTTCCGCACTGCTGCGCCTTCTTTTTTTTTCCCACTAGAAAACAAAGGGAGGAAAACTTCTCCTCCCGAAGGCCTTTTCCCCCCTTTCTTTCCTTTCTCTTCTTTTACTGCCAAATGCCATTTCAAACCTGGAAAAGGATTTTCCTCCCGAAGGCCTTTCCCTCCCTTTCTTTCCTTTCTCTTCTTTTACTCCCTCTCTCTCTTGTGACGTGCGTATTGCTGACTTGGATCTTGTGCGTACTGATTGAAGTGTTCGGTGGTTGCCATCAAACACAAAGCATACGACAGAACGGATTTCACGTCAAAGAAAAAAATCTACAAAACGACCAAATCTAATAGGTTATTCTCCTCGGGCGCGGTCCCACTATCAAACAGGATTGGATTGAACACCTGAATCTGGACTTGTTTGTGGAAAGGTGCAGAAAGTCGAGATTGAACTGCTTTTCTGCATCTCTGCTTAAAACACGTCCAGCTTCGGGATATTTATCCGATCCTCTTGCTCGGTACCTTTTTTTTTTTTTTTTTTTCAAAATTTGGACCATTTCTCGATTTATGCGTGTCATCCTTGCGCAGGGGCCATGCTAATCTTCTCTGTATCGTTCCAATTTTAACGGATGTCCCGAAGGACTCTCGGTACCATTAGATCTCCTGTGTATAATAATTCAACAGACCAGGATTTCCGTACCATTATTAGATTCTCCGTACCATTCGATTCTCTGACCACGCAATTATAAACGTTGCTCCTTTTTCCGAAAAAAAAAAAAAAAAAAAAAAAAAAAGGAGAAAAAAAAAACAAGGATGATTTTTTCTGTGGGGCTCGTCACACCACTGTCGAAAACATGATTTCCAACAGTTTCTCTTGGCCGCACAGCCTGTTGAAAACTTGAGAGCGCTCTCACTGGAGGACACACAGGGGGGGCCCGGTTCACGGCGCAATGCGGTCTCGCCAGCCGTCGGACAGCCTACTGCAGGCCAACCTACCCGACGAAGACGATGCAGACGGGTGAAGCCCTCGTTGACTACCCAAATGGCCTAAAATTGAAATATTACATTTACTTTTGGTATAAGTTACAAACATAGTTGGTGCAGATTTTTAACTGGAGGCTCATCTTTGGTCAACTATAAATAGACATCTGCCACCGTGACTGCGTTATCTCCCTATTGTACAACAAGGAAGACAAAGCCAAAATCCATAACTGGAGGCTCATTGCCTTGCTGAATATAGTGTACAAAATTCTTGCCAAAATTCTTGCCAAAACCCTAGGTTGGACACCTACCTTCCCCTGTTAATAGGAAAAGATCCAGGTGCGTTCGTACAAGCTCAGTCAATTTTTGATAACATTGGAGTCATTAGAGCTTGTAGACAGAGATAATAGCCAAGTTGTGGTCTTCTTGTTAGATCTTGAAAAGACGTACGATGGTATCAACTGGTCCTTGTCTTATCGACTTTGAGGCATATAGGCTTTGACCTTGATTTCTTTAAAATTAGTTTGTGCTATGTATACCCACTCCACATCGCCAGTAATTGCTAATGGTCAAGTATCTGACCCCTTTCCTCTAACTCTTTCCCTGCGCCAACGTTGCCCCTTGGCACCATTCCTCTTCATCTTCAAGCTCGAGAATTTATTGTGTAACATCAGAGTTCGTCCATATATTCGGATCTTGCTTTTGGCCAGACAGAATGCAAGGTGAAAGCATTGGCTGATAATTTGTTCGCCTTATGCTCCAGCCTGCCTGCCTCGCTCGACACACTTAAATATGTTTTGGATGAATATTACCTATTCTCAGAAGTCGTCGTCAGTTGGCGTAAATCGGTATATTTTCTACCACATGATCACATATTGGCAGTAAATTGGGGGATGAAAAGGATCCAGCCTGGGAATATTGATTGTTCAGCAGTACTGCGCAGAGGCTCAGGAATAACTGCTATAGCCAAGAATAATAGTCAGACTCCGAGTTTGGCATTCGGCTCCCCACTTATCCTTATTTGGTCAGACACTTGCTTTGAATTTTTTCCTATTCTCTCTTTTATGCTTTGTAGACACGATTCGTCGGTTTCCCCTTGTTCTTTTCATTAATCCGCACATTGGAAGCGAAGTTTCCCTAGAAGCCAAGAGCAAAGGAAGAGAAAGGCTTCATATCGAAGGTCGCGTGGAAGCAGGTCACCACCGCTAGGGAGGAAGGAGGTATAAGCCTATCAGACGTAGCCAAGTGAGACCGGGCTTTACTTGCCAAATGGGTCATTTGAGCAATCTCTGACGAGAAAGAGGACTATTGGGTTCTTATGGCGGAAGCCCTTTTGGGAGAAGATTAACAATTATGCAAACCTAAGGATGTGTGGCTCTGCATTCAACTGGAATCATATCAAAATAAAACGGTCTCATCCACCTTTCTAAAAGATGTGATTCACGTTTGGAAGAAGGTGAAACTAACTTCTTGGTCTCAACCAGTTACCAAACAGGAGACGCTTCTGCAATCGCTCGTGGACATCCCTTACATCTACAATTCAGAAGGACAAAGATTTAGAGTCAATAAGTCCTCAGGAACGTTTGGAAAAACGCGGATCAAGCGAGGAATCCTTATGATCAATGATTTGTTTGATGAATCCACTGGTCTATGGAAGTCCACATTAAAACTTGGAGTCAAACTGGGCTCGGTATGGTTTGTCGAATAACGGATGGTGGAACTTATCACAGCCATTCCACCCGTTTGGAAAAGCTTACTCTCCCTCAATTGCAGATATTCTCCTGACACGGTGACACCTAGTATATTCCACGCTCGCCCACGTTGGAAGTCAATCTCTGAAAATTGTTGAGCTACGACACAGATGGGGACAGAAGGTGGTCGGTGTGCAATCTCCAAGCTGGTGAGTGGCTGGGAAATAGACAAATAAGAACTTTTTAAGACCCTTGTTTGCCTTGGACCAGGTGCGAGTACAGAAACAGGTCTCAAAAGACGGTCTATGAAAGATTGTATCTCGGCATATGGCCAAACCAATATGCAGTCTGCGTCTGGACCCCGGAGGGTGGGGTTGGATTGGACAAGGAGAAGGCGGAGATGTTTTATCACTAAAACAATATACTCCAAAGTTTGGTTATGCAAGATTGCAACCAGTCAGAACTTTTATTTTAAATTCCTTGGTTCAGATGGTCCGGGTACCTACAGGCAGGAGAGGAGGAGGACTTCATGATAGCTCTTCAGAAACTGTGACAACAACATGCCGCCCTGCGTAAGCAGAGGGACATATCAATCCTATGGTTGTTATCTATGTTGGTGACCCCATCTGCTGTCTGGCTACTTAGCAGGGGCATGGAGGTCACTCTAGCTTGTGACCATTACGGTTGGCTGTTTGAATCAACCCCCCACCTCCGGTGGGACTACCTAGAGTCCAAAAGAGTCTAGAAATGGTGGCAAGGGCATTGGAGAGTCTTCGCAGGCTAGAAGTTTGATTGGGATAAAGAGTGGGTACTCTTAGGCTTCCTGTCAGAACGGAGGTCTAGCAGTTCAGGATAGGGCTACGTGGCTCATGCTTGCATAGCCATTATTTGCTGAGTCATTTGGCAACACAAAAATTGACGGATTTTCGAGGCACATGGCATGGCGGACGTGGAAACTAAGACACAGGTCAAAATACAAATCCGCCACTACATCCAAGCAGATTGGCGGGGACGCGTTATGGACAACTAAAGACAGAGACAACGATAGTTCAGCAGAACCTGGGGAAGGGATAGGCAGTTGGAAATGATTACGATAGATTAATTGTTAAAGTTTTGTCTGTGGCTGATAACTGCTTCCTAGATACCAGAGCAGTCGTAGAAGGGTGCCTCTGGCGAGGATAATGTCTAAACACCTCATCAGAGCTGGTAAGTACGGCTTAGGCTGTGTACCAAACCATGTGTACCCTGTAGTATAGGGGTTCATGATGTGGAAGAGATCCACAATATCATGTGTGGCAATGAATTCAGATTAGAGGTTTCTGGTGAAGGCGGTCGGTTAGTCCAGCCCTGGCAGCAAGACTGTGTTCTTGTCAGCTGCTAGTATCAAATTCTCTGTGTCAGGAGTGATTGAGGGAAGACTTTCAAAAATGCACATTCGGTTTGGGTAATCAACTATGGCGTAAATTGACATAACTGCCCATTCTTCGTCTACCAGAGAAAACTTGACTCATACAAATATGCCCAAGTGATCCCAAAAGTTGTCTAAAATGTCGATTTCCAAGTTCTTTTGGAACAATATACAACTGTCCCTTTGGAGCTGTCCGCGTGGGCCAAAAACTAGGGCTCATTCTACCAACCATGTGCCCGATCAATCTTGTTTTGGTCTAGGTTACCAGCCCGGACGTCCGGTACCCTTTTCTATCCCGGGTTGTCCCTGGTTGTCCGAGTGGGGCCCAATGTTCAGGTGGTGGAAAAATCGCCTATATAAGTACGTGTACAAAGGGTGTGATCGTGCTAATATGAAGGACTCTGAGTGCAAGTACATGCATAAGTACGTGTACAAAGGGTGTGATCGTGCTATGCTTTGCGAGCAAGATAGTAATACGCCTATCGTTTACGTGTGTTGTAGGTGCGTGCGAGACATTTTCATATCTATTTGAGTTTGACCTTGCACAACAATGACCCGCGGTCGAAAGGATGTCCGTGCATATCGAAAACATGCAAAAAGTGCAATTCGAACCTGACATTGAGCATGGCGTTGCTTTATATCGGACCCAGAAAACAAAATTAACGACGTGGATGGAACACAACTGTTTGAATCAACATATTCCTAAAGAGGAGGTTCGTCTGTATACAAAGATCGTTAACACTCGTATGTGGGATAACAAACATAAGAAGGGAAACCGAAAAAAACGTCATCTTCACGGTAGTCCTTTCGAAAAAATCTCTCGGTTGCATCACGTGAGGATCACCGAAGGCGAACGATTTTATCTGCTTGTGTCACTAAACCATTAGCATTCTTGTAGGGTGTGCTCTTTTGCTGAAATTCATATGATGAACAGAGTAAAATATAATTATTTCTGATCTGTGTGTCTTAGATTGGGCCTCTTACAAACCGACGATGCACTCGATCAATGCATAAACACAGTCGCTGCGTGCTTGAAGACCTTCGTAAAGTATTTGTTATGGTTTTCGTCTTTGGTCCAGTGAACAACCCTATCCGTTTCTTTGAATGACATTTAGATCAGACGTGTGACGATTTTCAGTATCTTGCAGGCTATGAAACACCCTCGGCGGCGGTCATCCGCGGCCGAATCCGTGGACGCGGCTAGTCCGCGGACCCCGCGGACGCGCGGCTTTGAAGCCACGTGGCGGCCGCGCGGGAGCGACTTTCAAAAAACGGGAGACTTCACGTGGCGGCGCATCCCCGGCCCGACCCCCCCACACAAAAAAAAAACGAAAAAGATCAACTTTTGGATGGAGGGGTATGGGCGAAATCGAAAGAAATTAAAAAAAAAATGCGTTTGCTGTAGTACTCGAGCGGACGCAGACCATCACCATCATCTTGTTGCAGCACTGCACCAATCCCAAACTGGCTTGCGTCCGTAGTGACTACGAATGTGAGGTTGGGATTCGCAATTCGGAGCACAGGATGACTCATCAATGCCTCTTTCAAGGCTTGGAACGCAGTCTCACACTTCTCACACCACGCATAGGCAACATTCTTACTTGTTAGTCTCGAGAGTGGGTGAGCAATGACATAAAATTTGGGCACAAACTTCCGGTAATACTAAGCCGAACCACGAAAAGAACGCAGTTCGCGTACGTTCCCGGGTTGAGACCACTTTCGTATGACCTCAACCTTGGGTGCTTGACGTGCTCTTCCATGGATTTGCTGAAATCAGAATATCGTCAAGGTACACAACCACAAACCTGTTGAGCTGATGGCGGAGTTCCTTGTCCATGAGGCACTGAAATGTGGTTGGTGCATTCGTAAGACCGAAGGGCATAACAATGAATTCGTACAGCCCATCGCGTGTTTTGAATGCAGTTTTGTGTTGGTCACTCGGATCAACTTCAATCCGGTGGTAGCCAGACTTGAGATCGATCTTGGAGAAGACCTTGCACCCACCTGCAGGATCTAGCAGATCATCTATACGAGACAAGGGATACGCGTTCTTTCGGGTGATACGGTTTAGGCCACGATAGTCAATGCACATCCGAAGCTTGCCTCCTTTCTTCGTCACAAACAGGACAGGTGCACCGAGCTCAGACTCATTAAACCTAATCCATCCACGATCGATCATGTCATCAATCTGCCTCATCAACTCCTCCAACTCGCCTTGTCCCATACAGTAGACGCAGCCCTTTGGAGGAACACTTCCTTCTATTATCTCGATCTTGTGTTTGACTGGACGATTGGAAACTCCACGAGGTTCAGCCAAAACTTCAGGAAATTGATCTAATAGCCGGCGACTGTTTGTTGGGACTTCCGGTGGAGGATCATCCTCATCAGGAGAAAGAAAATCAGACCGAGAATTTGCAGCAATTACAACCGGATTTGAAGTACTTGGATCAGAAGTAGAGGGATTATCCACAGTAGAAGTAGATGGAATAGAAGTAGAAGTGGTAGAAGTAGAATTACCTTCAGAGGTAGAAAATGCAGCAAAAGTAGAAGGCACATTGAGAGGCTTTACAAGAGCTATATGTACATGCTCAACTTCCTTGCGTCGGCGCACCGATTTGCAGAATTTGGTTGCACTTAAAAGGGTCACAGGGGACTCGCGCGGCTCGTCCAATAAAACGGTACGCTCGTTCCCCTTCGCATCACGCACCATGAACTGATTATCCGCCCACGTGGTTCTTAGGCAATGAGCCTTCAACCAGCCCAAGCCAATGACCGTGTCGAACGGACACTTATCCATGACATAGAAGTTCAGCTCATGTGTGACACTGCGGTCCTTGTCAAAGGTGATGCGCACACCTTTGACAACATGTGTGGAGGTGACAACCTCTTGGTTGCCCACCTGGGTCCAGCAAGGGTTCTGCAATTCCACTTGCTTCATTCCCAGGCCCGCCTTACGAATCCCGTTAGGAGAAAATAAGTTGGTGGTTGAACCACTATCAATCAGCAAGCGGATGTATCGGCGGTTAATGAGCAGTTTAAAGAAGGTTAGCTCCACACTCCCTTGAATACGGCGTTGCTGCTTGAGCTGCAGCCAATGTTCCACGTGAGCGTTGAAGTCAACTTCCTTAGACTCCTCCCAAGGCTCAGCGTATAGCACATGAACTGCAACAGCCTTGAATTCAGCGTCGTTCCGGACTTCAAGAGTAGGCTGTTGATCAGATGCAGACTTATTGGAGGGGTCTGCAACTAATGGCTCAGCTTCCCTTGTTGTAGAGAGTGCTGATCTGTGTATACGCCCGTACGTATACGGGCCGTACAAAATCCCGTACGACCGTACGTACGGGCCCCTATACCCCCGTACGGGCCGTATGTACGGAGTTCGGGTCCCCCGTGAGTGGCCTTCCAGGGGTGGGGTTGGGGAGGTGGATGAGCCGAGGGGGGGA